TATAAGCTGACAAATATGCGTTCCGCCTTGTGATCTTTAGCACCAGGTACAGTGCCACTGATTTTTTCAGCACATCATTAACAAAATTTCCCCTCACGGGATGCGAAAGGTGAGGCTGAAAATTTTAAGTTGCTCGTTGTCTGGACTGTGGTCTCAGTCTGCTACCTTGACACAATGGTACACCCGCGTGCGTATTATATCCCGGTGCAGTCAGGCCAACGGTATCGGGTATGTATTTAACTTGTCTGGCTGGTAGATGGGCAAGTGGTCAGCTGCCACAGTGATTTAGGTCTTACGAATAAGCTGGCTATTCCCAAAGTAACTTTTCGAAAATCACTTCATTTTGTCACACTCGGATGCTGAGTGTATTGAGCTACTTGCTGCGAGTCTGGAATATTTTCCTGTCTATTGGCCCCCTACTGAATGGAAATTCATCGCCCCTTATCTATATAGTCGTCATACCAGTCTTCCTAATACTGTATCCTCCTTAAAAGTAACTCATTCCAAATATGACTACTTCATTTTATGAAGCCTCTAGGTTGGGGGAACGTTAATCATTTTTGGTCTTTGTGCATTTCAAAGATGTGCAGATAATATGTGGGGGTGACGCATCGCAAATATTTTCGTCCATGTATTTGCCCAAACGACACATACTTTTGTATCCGTGCGTCATGTATTGTCGCTGCAACCGTCCTCAACTCCCGAATTATCTTTTGTGGTTGGAGATAGTGACCAGAGTAAAAAGGATTCATCGGGACTTAGCACATTCGCTGCACCAGGTGCGTCCCCATATGTAGATGTATCTGTGCCTCGCAGATGTCACTAATGATCACGGTTATTTAGCATTTTGTTTTTGCTTTTTGCTATGTAATTTTGAGTACGTTATTTAAGTGACTTTATCCATCACGAATACTGACTCCAAGGAAATTTCCACTCGCATTGCCGTGTATATGATATGACCGTAATTATAGAGGAAAATATCGGACGTCTTAGCAGATGAACGTACCAGTTTCTGGAAATCCATTCAAACGGAATAATTTTCCTAGCCCGATCCTGCCAACCACGAAGGCCTATGGTAGTATGATTGGGAAAAATATTTCACCCCTCCAAAGTAGGTGGCCTGCCAGCTTTGACCAACGAGCCAGGTGCTTTATTCTTGGTAATTGAGTTACGAATCGGAGTTTCATCGACTTTGTGGATGCCGAAGTTCAACTAATGAAAACCGCCTGGATTGGTCCCCCAAACGAACGTCCATCAGCGGTTATTTTCTTATTGATCTGTTTTGTCATGAGTGGCGTGAATTTTGCCAGTTTATCTTAAACTGCCTGCATCTTTTGTTGCTTGTTCATTGGGCATCGATACTTCGTACGGCATACCTGTGTCTTAGTCACCCTGTTCATAATTTACACCTTTTTATTCTATTCTCTGATCTCGTACTTAACACCTAAGCAGCCAGATAGAGGACGACCGCAGTATGCGGCATCAGACGAAGAACACAGATATTTTCCCTCATCCCACCACACATTTGCTGCCAGTTTCTGCGCGTTTTCTACGCATGCGGCCTACTTACTACGTCAGAATGCTCGCATCCGTACACTGACATATCACTCATCCTTGCTTGCTGCTGCTTCCAAAGAATAACCGCCGCTTCACTCTCCGCTTTACTGCTCCTAACAGTTTTCTCATTATTCATTCTGCGTTCCCGTCAATTCATGATATTTATTGATCTATTTGCCTCTAGCAACATTGTCGAATGTTTTAAAGGAACCACCGACTGTCCCCATTTGCCTGTCTCCACCGCCTGTTGAATATGAATTGCGTGTGGTTGGATAGCTCTGGTCGTACAGTAGGCCCGTCGGTTGCTCGGTTCTGGCATGCCTTTACCGGGTGGCTCCCTCACTAGGAGAAGCTATAGAAAGCGGCAATTAGTCAAGTTAGTCCATCCATCCGCAAATGAATATTTGGCAGGCGGTAGAAATCGTCCTCAAATCCACTGATTTCGCTGTTGAATGCGTCTAAAACGCGCTTCACTTTAACGTTATCCACAATTCGCCCTCTGAGCGAGTGCGTGACATTTTTTTCATGAGTGAGGAATTGTTGAAGTCATCGTGAAAATGGGTGCTTTTCTGCTGCAATTTACCACACGCATTCAAATATCGTTGCTGTATTGCTGTAGTGTGTCAATATATATATTCGTACGAGAAATATTGTGACGATNTCTTTGTGCATTTCAAAGATGTGCAGATAATATGTGGGGGTGACGCATCGCAAATATTTTCGTCCATGTATTTGCCCAAACGACCCACATACTTTTGTATCGATGCGTCATTTATTGTCGCTGCAACCGTTCTCAACTGCCGAATTATCTTTTATGGTTGGAGATAGTGACCAGAGTAAAAAGAGTCATCGTGACTTAGCACAGTCGCTGCACCAGGTGCGTCCCCATATGTAGATGTATCTGTGCCTCGCAGATGTCACTAATGTTCACGGTTATTTAGCATTTTGTGTTTGCTTTTTCAATGTAATTTTGAGAACGTTATTTAAGTAACTTTATCCATCACGAATACTGACTTCAAGGAAATTTCCACTCGCATTGCCGTGTATATGATATGACCGTAATTATAGAGGAAAATATCGGACGTCTTAGCAGATGAACGTACCAGTTTCTGGAAATCCATTCAAACGGAATAATTTTCCTAGCCCGATCCTGCCAACCACGAAGGCCTATGGTAGTATGATTGGGAAAAATATTTCACCCCTCCAAAGTAGGTGGCCTGCCAGCTTTGACCAACGAGCCAGGTGCTTTATTCTTGGTAATTGAGTTACGAATCGGAGTTTCATCGACTTTGTGGATGCCGAAGTTCATCTAATAAAAACCGCCTGGATTGGTCCCCCAAACGAACGTCCATCAGCGGTTAGTTTCTTATTGATCTGTTTTGTCATGAGTGGCGTGAATTTTGCCAGTTTATCTTAAACTGCCTGCATCTTTTGTTGCTTGTTCATTGGGCTTCGATACTTCGTACGGCATACCTGTGTCTTAGTCACCCTGTTCATAATTTACACCTTTTTATTCTATTCTCTGATCTCGTACTTAACACCTAAGCAGCCAGATAGAGGACGACCGCAGTATGCGGCATCAGACAAAGAACACAGATATTTTCCCTCATCCCACCACAAATTTGCTGCCGGTTTCTGCGCGTTTTCTACGCATGTGGCCTACTTAATATGTCAGAATGCTCGCATCCGTACACTGACATATCATTCATCCTTGCTTCCTGCCGCTTCCAAAGAATAACCGCCGCTTCACTCTCCGCTTTACTGCTCCTAACAGTTTTCTCATTATTCATTCTGCGTTCCCGTCAATTCATGATATTTATTGATCTATTTGCCTCTAGCAACATTGTCGAATGTTTTAAAGGAACCACCGACTGTCCCCATTTGCCTGTCTCCACCGCCTGTTGAATATGAATTGCGTGTGGTTGGAGAGCTCTGATCGTACAGTAGGACCGTCGGTTCCTCGTTTCTGGCATGCCTTTACCGGGCGGCTCCCTCACTAGGAGAAGCTACAGAAAGCGGCAATTAGTCAAGTTAGTCCATCCATCTGCAAATGAATATTTGGCAGGCGGTAAAAATCGTCCTCAAATCCACTGATGTTGCTGTTGAATGATTCCAAAACGCGCGTCAATTTAACGTTATCCACAATTCGCCCTCTGAGCGAGTGCGTGACATTTTTTTCATGAGTGAGGAATTGTGAAGTCATCGTGAAAATGGGTGCTTTTCTGCTGCAATTTACCACACGCATTCAAATATCGTTGCTGTATTGCTGTAGTGTGTCAATATATATTCGTACGAGAAATATTGTGACGATTTCTGCGGGGACGTTCCTGTGAACGTTGTCGTTTTTTCAGAGACCATGAAAGAGTTTCTGTTGAGCATTCGTGCAACAGTGCGCAAATCATTTTGAGAGCATCGGGCAGTACAAACATGGGCTGGGTGTCAATAGCAACCTCGAAGGACATTCAGAAATCCTTGTGCTTTCAACCACACTCAGTCTTGATAGAATAGTAAGGTCACCCGAACGTTATTGGTTATTTGCAAGTCAAATAACTGAAAATCAGTAACGGTAAAGACGAGTGAGTAAGATTGTAATACGGGTGAGCGAATGGCAAAAGATTACGCAGGGCAGGACGAATCCGATTGCGCGCAACACTCAGTTTTCGTTTTATGGATTTCCGTAGGCAGTCTTGGCGTATCTCGACCAGCCTTTTTGAGATTCGGTGATAAATGTAGGCAGTCTTGGCGTATCTCGACCAGCCCTCTTGAGATTTGGTGATAAATTGAGGGAGGAGTGAATCCGCGTGTTGCATGTGAATACATTTTTTCTCCTTATCGTTTTAGTAGATTGAACGGCAGGTGGAATCCAGAGCGCATCTGCGAAAAGCAAACAGAAGAAAAATAAAATCTTATCCGCTTCACGCCCAACTATTCGATTCTAATATGATCACCTTAGGGCCGGTAGATCAATCCATTAGAGTTGTCTTACAAAATGAACTGTGTTTATCATTCACAACGCGTGCTTGTTTCTCATTACATGTTGCAATCATGCGAGTTGCCACCAAATCATTTCGTCTTGTTTTGCGTTTCCCAGGAACTCGTTATAAGGGAGGTCGGAAGCGTATTGATCTTTGAAGACTATGTAACGTAGTTTGGTTGACGCCCAAGCAGGTCTACTGTCAGGTCTATTGTCGAACCATGCCTGAAAGGCATGATACTTGCTTGATTGAGGGTTGAATACTTGTTCAGCAGTTCCAATCTGTTTTGAAACCCGAGGTCTCTGACATTGCTGACATCAATCATTTCCACAGAAGTTTGCCTTTAGGTGAATCTGGAATTGTTCACTTGTTCGGTAGATGAATATTTCGAAGGAATTCGTTGGGCAGCCTCTCCGTCGAAAGCCATTAAGCCAAACTAAACGTGATGAGACCAAACATGCTCATGTTTGGACTAGATTAGTGGTGACGAATTGGAGTAGATCAAAAGATTGTTATCTCAGGTGCGACCATTGAATGTTCATCAGTGGCTGTTGAACGGTTCACCCAGCTTACTCACTACCTAGCAAGCATTTCGTCATGCCTGTACACATGATCATTGGGAATTCGGGTGAGATCACTTCAACAGCCATCTGATCAAAAGCCAATTGGAATGAACGAATTCCTGGTTTTTAATTAGTGTGCCTCATCGAGTTCCACTAAACTTAGCCTTAATGGAAGCTTTTGAAAAAATTCTCTGTTTACCTGTTACATGTGGGTTGCCTAATTTCATGTTGAATATTACCGTACATCTTGTCCAAGCGCGTTCTAGGTGAATTCTTTCATAGTGAAACCAACTGTCATGGAGCGATCCACTAATCAGCATGTTCATTCTGGTGTTTGGAAGGTGACATATATGTATTTGCAGTTCAGAATGACTGCAAAAATGTGATTCCACTAAACATAAGTTCAGTTTCTGAGTAAAAGATGTATGAAAAAACATAAACAACTGGATTTGCGCCATCAGACGGCATCAATCTAGTACCAAATCCGTCGGTGCGCCATAGTCCTAATTTCTCAAGGGAAACGATATTGCTATAAGTTGTTGTGTTTTCGGTTAGATGTAC